AAAATCTATTAGGAGCTGTGTATTTTTTATTGGCATTTACAACAGTTAATCTATGGGATTTACAGCAGTTAAAGATTAAAAATTAAGCCTGTCAAAATTAACAGCAAGTGCTGTAGACAATTGACTAGAGAGACTCCATGAAAATAAGCTATTCAACAACCTGGTTGAGATATTGATATACCTAAACAGCAAGAATTGTAAAGCTTTAAATATATGAACATCCCTGTCAATGTGTATGAGAAGAGAAGATTAAAAAATAAGTGTGTGTGTGTGCATATATATATATATATATATATATATATATATATATACACACTTTGGAAATCCTTAGCTTGTCTTCAACATCATGGAGTTATAATTAAATTAGAGAGTTTTTTATGGCTCAACCAAGCCAGTTGTAATACACATATTAAATCTGATCATTAAGAATACTTATAAATTATAGAATTCCCCTAACAGGACTGACTATTGAACAAAGAGTCTTTCATTGTTAGGGGAATTCTATAATTCATAATTATAATGCACTTAGTCAAAGGGAGATCAGATATTCGTTCATATGCCTACACTTGGAAAGTAATTCAGACTTTTTATTCAATAGTCTTTCCTGTTAGGGGAATTCTATCATTTATGAGTATAATGGATTTAGTCAGAGAGATAGTAGATAGTCATTCTCATGCCTACACTTGGAAAGTAGTTCTTTTTATTTAAAAGTCAGAATTACTTTCCAAGTCTAGGCATGATTACAAGTACATGCATTTCTCCTGACTAAAAGATCATAGACTCTTCCAGATTTTCAAAGCATAAAAATCCAACCTGGCACTTCACAATGCACTTGGGAATCTGGCAGTTAATATTTCTTCTTAAATTCTTTTTAATCTTAAATAGATTGAGCAAAAGGTTTTTTGAAGCTTGGATACCTTTTCCTCACATATGATCAGTTGTTTCTGTTTTATTTTGTTTCAGCTGCTACTGATTATTTCTTTGTTCAATGTCTTAGGTAACTGGTGACTAAGAGATTATCGGTTTATTTAGAGCAGCGTTTCTCAGCCCTTTTTACTCTTGCGTAATAAATTACATGTCTCAAGGAACCCCTGCGCAAAAACAAAATTATATATCATATCTTTTCATCATAGTTCACATGGCAAATATCATAGTATATTTTTTTGCATAACCAAGAACATATTTCTTGTGTTTAGTATTATTACATATATGAAATTAAATAAAAAGTAAAAAGTGCATTAGTTTATCTTGCATGTTCTCACAGAACACTTCGGGACCTTTTGTGGAACCTTGGTTGAGAAACACTGATTGAGAGTATTGTCTTTTATTTCTGTCTGTTTAGTTTTTTCTTATTATCCCATGACCCATAGTTTCTTTGGCAAGATAGCTTGATGGAACCCAACCCTCTGCAGGCCGGTTTTGAATTCAGAGTTTTTCTTTCTGCTAGACCAGTTGCCACCCAGGGCTATAGAACCCAGTCTGTCATGCTATTTACTCATAGCTGGGGGAGAAGAAAAGGATTCATACTTTTCCCAACGTTATTAGCACATAAGTGAATGTAACATATCTGACTGGAATTCAAAATCGGATAGTTGGATCCATTACATTCACTTACGTGCTAATACCCTTTGGGAAATGTATGAATCCTCTTCTCCCCACTGCCTGGGTAGGGTGTATCAAATGTTTAGTATTCAGTTGAGGTATGGACATAGAATGTTGCATCATTCCTTACGCTGACCTAACAAATGACTAGAGTGAAACGGATGGCTCAGGTTCATTCATGAGACAAGATAGCCGATAGCGTGGATTGCTAGGGTATGGATAGTATGCTTGTGCTCCCATGGCTGGTGAAAAGGCTTCTTGTAATTTCAAGTCAATAACCAGCAGTGACAGTCTATTTCATGTTTAAACGCAATTGTCAGACCATGTGCATTGTATTTTGCTTTATCTGTATATGCTGAACAGTGGTGCATTATAGGTAGGTCTATTGTATTATTCTAATGGTTATTTAGGTGGGCGATAACGGTTATGTTTTTAAATTATTCTAGGAGCTATTGACTAGAAATAATTGTGGTCTGAATGCTGTTTTGTCACTATTTCATAGTATTATTTGTTTAACTATTTTACTCATTATTATTTATTACTTTATTTGATGTTGAATGTTGTTATGCTTACTAGTGTTTATGTGTGTATTCCTGTAGTTTGTTAATTTCTTTATTATTTACTTAATATGTTTACTTATTGATTTTTGGTTTATTTATTTTTTTTTTATTTATTACTTTTATTTATTCTTGTTTGTTTTTAGTTTTCAATTTTTAAGAAATGTAATAAAATTTTTTCATGTCTGCATTTTGAGATGAGTTCTGATCATTTATTTAGTAGTTTGCATTGGTCTGGGAAGGTAATTATAGCTATTTTCTTCTCCAGAATTTACAGTTTTTGAATTTATTGTTGTAGGCTGATGCTGCTTTCCTTATTTTCCATATTTTTGCTGTAATTTGGTTTTTGTCTTTAATCTCCCAGATATGTTTAGAAAGCTGTTCACGTATTTACTATGTGTAAAGGATGTTTTGTGAGTGTAGTTCTCTTGTTTCCAAAGTCCTTGTGTTACTCCTATGTATAATTTTTCTTTGTTGTCTGTTGATTTTACAGTGGCTTGGTATATTATATCGCTCTGCAAGCAGTTGCTGTTTAAGGGACATTCGTTCTTCTGCAGTTACATGTAGGTTTGGTTTGTTGTTTTCCTGTTGTGCTTTTTGATTATTTGTGTCATGTTCTCAGTGCATCTGTTGTTGATTTTTACTGTTTTTGTTGAATATCTTGTGGAGAGTGCTTGATGGGGAGCAGTGCTTGAGTATGAATTTAATGAATATTTTTCCTACATTTGTTTTTATGGTTTTGTTGTACGTTAGATTGAACCAGATGATGTTTCTTTTCCAGTTGGCTTTTTCTTGTGCTGTGTGGTGTGTATGTGAGTGTTGCTGGGAATCCATTATCTTTTAGGGCTGTTTCATAGACTTTCTTGGCTTCATTGAAGATGGTTTCACTGGAAGAATTGTCAAAAAGCCTGCGATTAATTGATTGTGGGATCTGCGTGATTATTGATGATGGGTGGCTGGAAGGTGTATGTATACATACAGTGGTTTATCATTAGGCTTTCTATATGGTTGATATATGTACCTTTTCTTAGGTTGAAGGTGACATTTTAATGATGTACTTCTTTTAGGTTAGTTTTTATGTCTATGTCGAATCACATATTTTAAAAATTTTTTATGATTGTTTTTCTGGTTTTGTCTGTTTTCCTTGTTACCATTTCTTAAGATATGCTCTCTCTCATATATATATATATATATATAAGGAGCAAAAACACTTTATGTAACCGCACACGACCTTGGTTTCTACACTTGGGGTCGAAACCAAGGTTGTGTGTGGTTACATAAAGATGTCCTTTTTCAAGGCATCTGCATCAAGGACTTTTTTTATATCCGTTTTGTGGTATGGTATTTTTTTGGACTCTTAACAGATTTTTTTTATGTATATATTTTCTGGTTATACATTATTTTTTTATGCATACACTTATTTAAGTAAATGCTTGGTTCTTTAATTAAACAGTATTAATTACATTTACCGGCCTGATTGTTTCAGAAATTTCATAGAAAATGAGTATTCTTCGGTAGGAATTGAACCTGCATCCTATGAGGAACTGGCATGCTATAACCTTTCAGCCACAGAGAACTTCTGGTTAAGCAAAGTTTGTATTAATGCTTTTACACACACCCTTTTGCTAATCTTTTCCGATCTATCATATCTGCTCTTTATTTTCATCCCAACATAAACAATGACAATATATCATAGGAAGTGGATTAAATCTGACAATTATACATTCTCTGAGAGTGTATATGGTGGAGGAGTCAGGTACTTACTGGAACGGTACAAGGAATGGACCATTTTACCTGTATCATTAGCAAAGGATCATATGTACGAGTTCCACTTGAGGTTGGTTGTGAACTTAAGTTCAACAGTGTTTCAAGGCAGGTTGCTTCCCTTAGAGGACATCCATTAATCGTGATTGGTGATATTTCAAGGCCAGATCAATGATGAGGGAATGTAACTAGCTTGGTCTTCAAGACATTGAATGTAACCAGCCAGTTTTTTCTCTGGGTAATGAGGGGGAAAAGACACTATTTGATTTCAGTGAGAAAATGAAAGAAAGAAGAAAAAAGAAGGGAAGATAGAAATGTAGAGAGAGAATCAGATTAAGCCAATAAGAACAGATACTACACTTTGATCTCAGCCAAAAAGGAGTGACAACCATGAAAAAAAAAATCAAATGATAGAAACCAAATAAGGCAAAAAAAAAAAAAAAACAGTTACCAAAAATAAAATAACATTGTCTGCTGAATTATTTTAAAATTATTATTAAAAGAAATGTTCATAAGATGGGGATTTGACTAGAAAGGAAGAAGAGGAGATAGACGTGTTTAATGTCTCCTGCCAATACATTATAAATAATAGACTATTCTCTTTTGATTGCAAACAAGAAAAGAAAACCAAGACATATGCTACTTGGTTTCAGTGAGAAAATAAATGAAAGAAAGAAAGAAAGCAAGAATACAGGTGTTCAACGATTATTTTAGTGAAATGGAAAAAATTGTCAAATTCAAATCTTTTAATTTGTACCCCCTTACTTCTTTAAATAATGACCAACATTCATATTTATGATTGTTATTGCAATATTTTGTTAAAGTTGTTAAGCTTAAATATTTTAACAATGTAATAAGGGAATTTCTGCGGATAGGCTTATTCAATCATTAACTTAAGAATGAAGATTCATCAGAAAATCCAAATACAAAAACTACGTTTTCACAGATCTTTCTAGTATTTACTAATAAATGTATTTTAAAGGAACAAGCAGTTTTGATTTTAAATTTGATCAACTTGCCATCAGCAAGAAGCCAGTAACAGGTACCTGTTTAAATAATGAATGAAAATAGCCTCACCTTTGCTGACGTAAATCTTTTGGTCTGAAATCAAATTTCCATGTGTGGCGTGTTCCAGCTTCACTTGGAAAGGCACAGGCTGCTTATTAATGTCAAATGCAGTGATCAAAATTCTTTCCTCTTCATTGCAACGAAAAAGTTTTGGTGCCACAACAAGTACCCTGGATGCACTGAAAAAAAGAAAAAATAGACAAAAAACATGACTAAAGTTTTTTTCAAAAGTTCAAAATGAAGCATTTTCATTATAGACAATAGTATGCATTCATACATAAGCACTAAACCAGGCATCCAAAAGTATATTGGACATACCACTACATGCCTATCAAGAAGATTCACATGACAACTCTCTGACCATAATTCAATTAGGACTCATTTAAATATACATGGAAACCTACCAAACTCCATTCACAACATACTTGTAGAAAAGACAAGTATAATAGATTCATCCACATGTGAAAAAGACTAAAAATAATGGAAGCACTAATAATAATAAAAGAAAAAGCCAATACTCAACAACATCAACTATGAACATGGCCACAATGTGTTGACAGTGTTTGGAAAAAAAAACATTCCCATCACTCTAGAAACATATAGAAAAATCTACACATTCTTTTAAAAATAAAAATCATTCTTGATAATAGTTAATAGAATAGACGAAAGTGCTTAGATATATAAAATATTTGGACAGTTTTTATATACTTTATATCTAGTACCTTGCCAGTTGTCTTTGTATAAAAGAGGAATTTCTGCCTAAATACACAATTATATATATATATATATATATATATATATATATATATATATATATGATGCATGTTTCATTAAATAATATAGACAAGTTTTGTCTATTTATTTTAAGTAAGTTCCTTTCATATTGTCTGATAAGCTTAATAACATTATCATTGAAAGATGAAAGGAAATCACCATATTGATACATGTTTAAATCCAATCTAAGCTTTCAATGATAATGTTATTAAGCTTATCAGACAATATGAAAGGAAAGATTGGACAATAGAGCAGTGGAATAAAGTCCTTTGAACTGATGAATCAAAGTTCAAAATCTTTGAGTCAAATAGAAGGGTCTATGTGCGGTGAAGAGTTGGTGAAAGAGCTGCAACCCCCTGTATCACACTAACTGTAAAGCATGGAGGAGGCTCTGTTATGGTTTGCCAATTGCAAAGTCAGGGATTTGCACCAGCTGAAGGACAAATTGAATCAGACTGGCTATCACAGCATACTGCAGCATCATGTGATCCCATCTGGAATGCAGCTTGTGGGTCAAGGATTTGTAATCATGCAAAATAATACCCTGAAGCATACTAGTAAGCTGCCAAAGTTAGATTAAGAGCAAAGAGGAACAGCACGTCCTTCAACTGATGTCTTGACCGGTGCAGTTAGCGGACTTAAATCCCATTGAACTGGTGTGAGATGAACTTGATCGAAAAGTCAGAGCTAAACAATTCACAAGTGTGGATCACCTCTGGCAACTCTTGCAGGAAACCTGGGCAGAACTATCTGCAATCTGCCTTCAGTCTTTGGTGGAAAGAATCTGTGAAGCAGTGATATTGGCCGGGGGGGGGGGATTCTCATTTTGATGAATCAAACGTTTTTTTGGTTTAATTTGTATTTAATGTGACTCAGGAAGACTTGTATTTAGTATAATAAATAAAACCATTGACTTGTTTCATCGAAAATAATATTTTTAGGATGAGAAATAAAAATTGTTGAGGGTAGCCAAATACTTTTGACTGGTATTGTCTATATTTGTAAAACTTCAGATAAAGCTAAAAATATATCAGTAAAAAGTGTACCAGAATACAACAGCTGTCCGATCAACTGTTGTATTCTGGTACACTTGCATATCTTTTAGTCTATAAATGAGTGTGTCTACTCATTTTGGTCAGTCTATGAAATTTTCAGCGAACCCTCACACAAAGATGCCAAAAATATTATAACCTGAACAAAAGAAAGTTTACAGCCATATCAGGCTGAAACAATTCTTATATGATCACTGAAGTTAAGCAATATTGAGCTTGGTCAGTACCTAGATGGGTGACCACTTAAGAATATCAGGTGCTGTAAGCTTGGATATGTGGATGGTATAATGCAGTGGTCCCCAACCTTTTTTGGCAAATGTCAAGCAAAACATTTTTCCCACAGATGATGGGGTGGAGTTTAGTGTTAGTCCTGCACATAAAAAAATACCATAAACAAGACCCCCACCCAAATGGGAAAAAATGTGTTTATTCTTTCTGTGTGGCCCTGTATCAAATGTTCCATAGCTTGGTGGTGGGGGGACCACTGGTTTAATGGATAATGACTCAGAATTAGAAATCAGAGAGTCATGTTCCAATTCCTGTCTTGTTTGTTATATTCACATACATCCTACCGCCCGGTCAACACTCCTCCCCCTTCTCTTGGACGTGAGTAGAGGCTTATGCCTTGTTTCTTGTTTAGGAAGGGGTTTCCGGTACTCTCTCTCTCTCTCACTGGCCTCTGTATCTCCAGTTGCCTTGATCTATCCACTACCCTTCTCCTCATCCTTTCTTCTATCATTCCTATCTGACCTTGCACCAAATTTTCTGTAACCCCTTGTGTCCTAGTGGCTTTCCGCCTTGCTTGGGGTGAAACACTTAAAAACAAACAAAAAAAAAAAAAATGCAATCTTCCTCCAGATATGGGTTAATTAGTAGCACTTGTATCAGTAAAATATTATTATCTCAAAAAAAATAATAAATAAATAAAATTCTTAAAGTCTGAAAACATATAGGGTCATATTTAAACGGAACGCTGATCTTGTATAAAAATTTCTGTTATCTGTTTGGATTAGTTGGGCTCTTATGTCCATCGTCTTTTGTGTTAAATTTTTATAAGTTCTAATGTTAATTATGTCTAAATGAAAATGTCCATGAAGATGGTCTTAAATAGACCGAAACGTCCGACGTCGACTTTATATTAACATTAATACTACATAATTGCATATTCGGATTTTTGTTTGTTTTTCTGTATTTTCTTCATACTGTCGGATCTATATCCATATATTTGCTTACATATATATATATATATATATATATATATATATATATATATATATAGTTCAACAATATATGGAATATTGAAAAGACTTCATTTGAGAACTTCAAACAAGAGTCAATGAAATATTCTGGTAAGCATAACAAAGAGGCTTACACAGGAGTGACTTTTAAAGTTCTTTTACCTGGAAAAATATTGGATAAACTTTCAGCTTTGGATATCGGGTTAACTTAATAGTTACCAGCATGGAATGTAGAATTGGTGAGCCAAGTTAAAATTCCAGTGGAATTTGCTTGCATTCACTTTCACACTAAAAAGCCCTTCAGAAAGACATGAATCCATCTTGTCCATCTATAGGTTAAATAGTAAATTAGACTAGACTATTTACATTATTCAGACTATTAGCCTCATCTTTGTTGCCATATTTATCACACCATTTCGGCCGTTGTATGCTCTGGCCTTCTTCAGGTGGTTGGAATGTCGAACTGAACCCTTTATTTCACTCACAGGGGTAGACTGTTCTAGTTCCATGTGCCATGTTTAATGGCTGTCAGTTAACAGTTATCTCCTGTTAATTCACCTCTCCAAGTTCTCCACTGCCTTAACCAGGTATTGAACTCACAGCTCTTTGGGTCCTGTCACTGGATTTGACTGACATCCATTAGACATGGCATGTGGAACTAGAACAGCCTACCCCAGCAAACGAAATAAAGTATTCAGTTCAACATTCCAACCGCCTGAAGAAGGCTGGAGTGTACAATGGCCAAAACGTTGTGATAAATATGACAACAAAGATGAGGGCAATAGTTTGAATAATGTAAATAGTTTACAGAATATCTCAACTCAGAAATATAGACAGATACTAGACTCGACTCTCTAGCCAATTTAGGAGAAGAACAATTTGGAATACAAAATCATGGAGAAAGTAACAGGAAACTACTCTGCTGCTTTTCCCCCAAGAAGCCATAGTAATTCACAGATAATAAAGAAAAGGAATGTGTGGAGAGCCATGATCATCTATGTTATGAAGAGAGAAATACTTCTCTGAAGGAAAGCAACGGGAAATCAATCCACAATCTTCCCCAAAACATCATAGCAATTCACAGATATTAAAGAAAAGGAACTTGTGGAGTGCCATAATCGCAAACATCCTCAATGGACATGGCATTAAAATAAATAATTAGCTTTAATTTTTTTCTCTGGAAACTATTATAAATGCTGGTATTTTAAAAATACAAAATAAAATCATTAATTCTTTTTTAAACACAGAATACAATTTAATACCAGCATGATGCTAGTGGAGGAAAATAATGATTTGAATAAAAGTAAAACAGTTGACTAAATGAGTCTTAAAAAAAAACAAAAAGAAGAAAGAAATGATGGAAAATCCAGAATCTATCTTACATATCTATAAGTCTATCATTCATTCATGCTTAGAATATTGCTGCCACATATGGCCCGCTGCCTCTACTATTTATCTTGAGCTTCTTGATAGGATCCAAAGAATCTGCAATATTATTGATCCTGATCTGGCAGCTCAGCTCCAGTCACTTTTCCACCACCATAAGGTTGTCTCTCTATGTCTTTTCTATAAATACTTTCATGGTAATTGTTTGAACGAGCTGTTCGCTATGGTACCTTGATTTTTTTAATTTAAGTACAGCACTAGACTGGCATCAAGATCTCAATTTACAGTTGAGCTGGCTAGATGCGATCATTAAATTCTATGCTAACAGTTTCTTCTCTTACACTTCTCGCTTGTGGAACTCTCTTCCGGCTCTGTGACTTTCCAGTCAATTTTAATTTGCATAAATTTAAATCCAATGTCAATCACTATCTACTGTCCTCCTGGTTACTTATCTTTTCTTTCTGCTCATTATTAATGTTTCTGTTCCTAATTCTTCCACACCCCGTAACCCCTTGTGTTTTAGTGGCATTACTGCCTTGCTTGGGGTGATTCTGATTTTAGAAGAATAAAAAGACTAATTGACTAAAAAATAATGATGCAATCTTATCACAATATTTTAACAATTATACCTCAGTCCTTAATGAGCAATCACATCAGCATAATTGAGCTATTTACTATTTTATTTAAGTTAAACAACTGTAATTAATTTAAGTTAAGCTCAGTAATTGTTTATCAGAGGCTAGATAAGCCTTCAATAAGCAATTTGAATTAAGTCAACCAATAATTATGAGGTTTTACTTTTTTTTTTTATTTGTTATTCTTAGTTTTTCTTTAAATTAAAATAATTAAATCCATTTTCAACATTGTGTGTTTACTGTTTATTTAACTATCAATAATATATTTTTAGTCAACTGTTTATTTTTTTTTTTATTCAAGTTGTTGTCTTCTTCCAGAACCATGAGTCTACTCTAGTTTAGTAAATTGTAGTCAAGCCCAGAAGCAGATGTTTGGTGATGCCCGAGGCCAACTCCTTGTTTGTATGTCCCTAGGATTCAATTCAAGTATGGGTCTAATACTGAGAATTTTGACAAAAGACATTTGATTTTAAATATGTAAAAACAGATGAAACATGAAATAAACCCCCCATTTTTTTTTTTTTTTATTAAAATAAAAATAGCGTTCGGTTAGAGGGCGATTGTGTTACGCTAATCTTCCAACTGGGGAGGCCCTGATTGTTTGGTAAATAGGCACCCTTCCTTCTAACAACAGAAGGGCTTTTTTTCTGCTGCGAAATATGAAATTACTATTCCATCGATCCAACTCGTTTGTTTCATCGTAAGACGGAAATTCTTCCCAGTAAATATGAAATGAACAAGAAAAAGAAAGAATAATTAATTATTGATTCCCCATTTTCTGTGGAAGTTGTTTTCCGTGATGAAACATCCAAAGGTTCGTTTCCTTTGCAATCCAAACATTCCCTTTCTTATCTGCCTATGTTTATTATTTTCTGACCCCGCCGAACATTGCTTTCCATTCCAGTGAAGCCGCTTTTTCTCAGGATTCTGATACCAAATAAATTCTATGTTTAATCTCCCACGCCACTACCAAAAAAAAAAAAAAATTTCTTGGGGTAAATAAAGAAATGGTTTTTAAAACAAATATAAAAACATTCACTTTCTTAAAAAACAAAAAAATAGTAAATTCTCAAATTCAAAAATCATCTTGTTTAACATTTAGAAGCGCGAACAACATTTAAAAATAAAATTTAAATTATTGCAAGAGATAATTTTAAATTTGAAATATAATTTTAAAACATAAATTAAGTGTGGAAAAGGCAAATTTAAAAAAAAAAGTAATTATTTTTTATTCGTAATCTGGAATGTAAACGATATGAAAAAAAAATCTCCAGATTATTATGAATTTCAATTTTTTTTAAATTTTAAGAAATCACGTGGTATGAAGAGATGAGCATATTTTGTTTTGGCTTTCGTAGAGGGGGGGGATAAATTTACAAGAAAGTAAATTGGACCCCTAACTTATATAAAATTTATTTTATATTCGTGATCTATATATTTCTAAAATTTGAAGAAAAAAATTAAAACGATTATTGTCTATTATTATTGTCATTAAAGTCCAAAATATTTTTAATGGAATTTTATTTAATTAATGAAAAAAAAAAAAATTTTTCATAACATACCTGATTGTTTCTATTGCGTACACAGTAAAAAGAAAACAAATTAGAAAATTCGTCTGACTCCCAACCATGGTTGTTGACTTGATTTATTTTTTAAACTTTGGATGTTAAAACTCGCGTGTCATGAATTCTTTCCCAATTGTAGAGTTTATCACTTTTCAGAGAACGTTCAAATAATAATGGTAAATATTTCCATTTGCAAGACAAACTCCTCTTCATACAGTTGTCCAGTTTTCTAAATAAATTTATTTTCCCACCTTATTAAAACCACTGCCGGAAAAAAAATGACAGCAAATAAAAAGGTTTTTCACCAGAGATGGGCTCTTTACTTTGTGTGCCACTATTTACAGTCGAGAATATGTTTCCTCTTCTTTTCTTGTGGAGGAAAAAAAAAAATGAGAGAGGAGAAAAAAAGAGTGAGTGAGAAGAGAAAAAAGTGTGAGAGGAGAAAAAAAAGAAAGAGGAGAAAAGAGTGAGAGAGAAGAGAAAAAAAGAGTGAGAGAGAAGAGAAAAAAAAAGAGTGAGAGAGAAGAGAAAAAAAAAAAGAGTGGGAGAGAAGAGAAAAAAAAAAAGAGTGGGAGAGAAGAGAAAAAAGTTTGCATTGAAATCAACACCGAAGTCTCATTTCAAACCAAATAAAAAAGAAAAAAAAGTACAAACTTTTTTTTATTTATTTTTTCGTTCTGTGATTTTTTTCCTCCTTCCAGCTACGAATTGTACGTTCAAAATTATTTCCAATTCTGCTTTGGGTTTAGTTTTACATATACAAAACTGCCTGACCCTTGAAAGGCAAGCTGGTGGGTACGATCGACTCTTGGAAGCACCTCCGCCACTCTGCCCTCGGGACATTGATACAATTTCCATTTTCTTTTAACTTACACAAAAAAATCATGAAATAAACGTGCTTAGCAAACACGTCTCTCACATATAACAATTCCGAATTTAAGTGAGTTAGCTAGAACCTCAAATACAGTAGCCTTGTACCAGACAGTGCTGGCACTGATAGACAACCAAAAAAAATGTCCCGAAAAAAAAAAAAAAAAAACAAGCAAAAAAGAAAAACCTTTTCGATAACCATCAACAACCCTTCACTATCACCGACTCTCGTTGACAAGTTTCCCATAAATAAATTTTGTGTGTGTGGTGGGGATGTTCTCTTAAACCAGCGAAAAAAAAAAATGTATGTCCATGATACAGTATCGTTCACACTAAAAAAAAAAATCTGATAAATTTGTTTTGAAAAATTTAATTCGCACTCAACACTTGATATCTCATTTGTGGGAGCTTTTATTTTTGTATCGCAACGAATTACGCAGCACTTGTTTCGATCAACAGCATTACTTAGAACGATTACTTCGCTACTTATGTAAAAATTGTAAAACTTAGTCTTCCTTTTTAGTTGGCAATAACTGAAAGATGGAGATAAAAATAAAATTAAAAAAGTACTCTTGTGCGGATGAATTTGTTTAAATGTGATCTTTTCTGTTAATTCACTCCAAAATAAAAAGAATTTATTTACTAGTGGGGCCATTTAAATTCCATTCTAGTAAATAAATTCTCTAAATAAATTGCCCTTCCATTGCACTCCGGCTGGGTTGACCTTTGCGATCACCCCAAATGTGGGCGACTCGGTTGCGCTATTTTTAAGTGTCGGGTGAACATCTGCACTTACCCTGATAAACAAGTCAAAAACAGATTTTTTTTTTCTTTTTCTTTCATTAATTTTATAAAAAAATCTTTGTAAATACTTCAAATCATCTGCACTAACGAAATGGGAATAACCCTCTGATTTTTGGTAATTAGCTGTTGTGAGACAAGCTAAACAGATTTTTATGGCTCTCCACAACTTCCTGTCTTTTGTAGCCCTTAGTAAAATTTGTCCTTTTGCTATCTCTCCTGATTCCTGTTCTATCACACTTGTTTAGGTAGGTTTTACTACTTTCTTTTGCCCTTTTTGCCTTTAATATCTCCTGTGAGTGTCAGATTTTCCAAGCCCTCCTTCCTCATTGTGTCCTAGAAATTTCAATTGTCTTTTTCTGCTGTGTAGGTATCTGCAAAGAAAAGCGATCCCTAAAATTCAAAATGAATTTTTAAAAATGAAAAATATTTCTTGAAGCTTTTATTTTAGTTTTAATTTCAAGCTAACAGATTAAATTTAATATTTCCAATAAGCAAAATACTTTGCTGTATTTCAAAACGAATTTAAATTGACTGGAATGATTTTTTAATCATTAAAAATGGCTGATTTTACCCATATTTCTAAATCTGTCAGCACAATGTAATTCTCTTTATTAAAAATCTTCCAAAAATAAAATATACTTTTCTATAACTTTATTTAGAAAAATTAGTTGATTTAAAGTTTAATTTGATTTGAAACAAATATTACTTACTTTTAATTTAAAATATTGTAGAAAAGCATTTTTAACACAGAGATGGGTGTTTTTTATGAGGTGTTTACAACTTTCTCCATAGACATATGTTTGGATATTTTTAAGGGGAAATATATCTGTAAAAATTACTTGACAGATATAATGTAAGTGCTGTTTTTATACAATTTTTTTAACTACTTAATCTTAAACATTTAGGAAAATATTCTAAGTAATCTAATGTTTTATTGAATTTTAAGTACTTTGGCTTTAAATTTACTAAAGTCGCCACTCTTATTTTCTGATAATGTCATGTATGGGGTCCATATTTACAAAAACCAGTATGTTTATATATGCAAACCTAAAGAATTCAAAATTCTTTTTAAGATATTGGAAGTCACTGAATTGTAGTAAGCTTTTCTATTTATGATTTTATTTTCTTTAGCTGGGGATCATGTTTTGCAAAAAAAAAAAAAAATTAATGATTTAAATTTTCCAAAGACTTGTGCTTATAATTAATATTATAATAATAAATTAAGCCATACAAAAATGGATTTTCTCAAAATTTCATAAAATTAAATAAGTGAGGGTTAGCAGATGTAAAAAAAATTTTACCAAGATTTTGTAAAAATAAAACATTTCTAAAATAAATTTCATTCATTTGCGACTAAATTCTGAAAGTTTAATTAAAATCCAACAAATATTTGATTTTTGCAAGAATTTCCAATTGTACGAGTTTTTCACTACAAAAAGATGCTAAAATTTCCCATACTAATTTATGAAGAAAAAAAATTCAACCCAAATTTTGAAGGTTCTAACAAGGATTAAAAAACATTTAATAATAAAAAAAATCCTTTGGTCTTCCCTCTTAATAATAACAAAGAATTTGACAATAAGACTTTGCTTGGGACTGTTTGGCATCATGTATGTTCATTTTTCAGTTGTGAGTGTCAAATTCTCCAAGCCTTCTTTCCTTATTAAAAATTCAACTATCTCTTTCTGATTTTAAGTATAAGTATCCTTTTTGCTACCGTTTTCCTTAAAACATCTTTGTTGCAACTGTGGTATTCTCAGCATCCTTCTGTAGAACCACATCTCTTTTGCTTCAAGTCTCCTCTTTATCTGTGAGAAAATTGTCCAGCATTTACTGCCATATTGGCAGTTCAGCAGTTTTCTTTGTTTCTAACAAACTTTTTCAATGTCTTAATACTTTAGTTTACTTTCCAAAAGGCATCTTTTACTATTCCAACGTGTTTTTAAATTTCTCTGACATGTTTACTCTCATCTGCTACAACCTTATCCAAATAGATAAATTTCTGTACTTGCTTCATTCTAAAGTCTCTACTTAGTAATTCATACTTTAGAATCGGTATCTCCAATAATTTGCTACAAAAAGAGCATATCATAATGGAAAAAGCCTCAAACTTGATAAAAACAAAGTTTTATCATTAAAATGTTTACGTTATTATTAAGAGGAAAGTTCAAAAAATTTTTTGATTATTTTATTAAATTTTCTTTAATTTTTAAATCCTTTCTAGCACATTTGAAATTTTGGTTAAAATCACTTTTTTCTTGCCTCAGCGGGTGACCCAAAGATTATTATTAGAAATTTTAGCGTCTTTTTTTGGCATTAAAAACACATTGCTTTGGAAATTCTTGCAAAAATCAAATAATTATCAGATTTTAATGAAATTTTCAGGACATATTCACAAATGAATTCAATTTTTTTTTTTTTTTTTTAGAAAATCTTGGTAAAAATGTTTTTTTTTGTTTATTTTTACATCTGTTTCCCCCACTTAATTTTATGAGAAATTAAAATTTCAGTCTCTTCATATTTGTTAGTTAAAAGCAGGACTTCTTGGAGAATTTAAATCATCAATTTGCTTTTGTCAAACAGAAACACTATTTACTGAAAATCTTCTCTGTGTCATAAATATTAAATATCCAAAAATGACTTCCAAAAGTTAAGACAAAACAAAAATTATGTTAGAAACAAAGAAAAGAGTCCTAAACTGTTATCAGTCCTCCTATATAACAGTGAACACTGGACAATCTCCCCATAGATAAAGAAGAGATGAGGAAAAAAAACGTGGTTCTACAGAAGGATGATGAGAATGCCATGGAATCTCATGAGAATGAGAATGTCATGTGAGGATGTTTTAAGGAAAATGGAAACAAAAAGGATCCTTATACTTAAAATCAGAAAGAGACAGTTGACACTTCTGGGGTACATAATGAGGAAAGGTGGCTTGGAAAATGTGACACTCACAGGATATATTGACAGCAATAGAGACAGAAGGGAACAGTGCACAGAAAAGGGAACAGTGCATAACCTACCTAAGAAGTCTGTGTAAATAGATGGCAGAACAGGGATTGGGAGCGATAATGAAAAGACAAACCTAAAAAGGATAGGAAATTGTGGAGAGTCATGATCACCTGATGGGACATGAAACATCTTTTATGTTTGTCTATTTTCATGTATTTTATTCAGCTCGTTGTTTCCAATTCACGTGAAGGTGGTTTCTTCCCAGTAAATGTTACAGATTACACTATCTTTCCCATATAAAAATACCAAGAACAACACACAAACAAAAAACAGTCAAAAATTTGAACAAAAAACTATAAGTAGAATTTTTCTTACCATCAAAATAAATAAACCGTTTTCTTTTATCTTTGTTGAACTTTTCTTCTACACAACTATTTCC